GCAGAAGAGGAAAATGTAACAAAAAAGATTTAATACAATATTTTTCACAATTAAATAATTTAATTAATATAAAAGAAATTATTTTGTTAGCTTTTCCCTTCAGCAATTGCCTCACAACAAGTGAAAATAATTTGAGGCATAACTTAAATAGGACATTACACAGCTTGACATTTCATTATAGTAAATTTCATTTTATGGATACTAATAATTTTATTAGTAAATATTTTTATTTGACTAAAGATAGGTATTATCTTACTAGTTATTTTAGGAGACAGATAGCAGAGATGCTATCATATTATATTAATAATTCAGCCAAATCATTGGCTACCAGACCGGCTGCTTCTATTGAGCAGTCCGTTGACATAGGTCAGTTTACTGACAATAATAATTCTGTTGAAATTAATTCAATTTCTAATTATTTAAATTAATTAATAAGACAACGGAGAGATACTCTTGCAACACATTGACAGTAAGAAACCAACCTAAAACACACAGAAATAAAATAAATTTTATATTAAACCTGGTGCACCAAAATATTCAAGGCATGAAAGGCAAAGAGCTAGAAATAGAATTATTTATTAACTGTAACAATATTGATATTCTTTGTATTACTGAACACCACTTTCTATCACAACATCAGTTCATGTTTAGCTTCAACAATCACCAGGTGGCTAGTTCGTTCAGCAGAGAAAAAGCTATTCACGGCGGCTCTTTAATTCTTATTAAAAATAATTTAAAATTTAAAGAACGTAAAGATATTGTGAGCCTATCTATTGAGCGGACTATAGAGATATCCTGCATAGAGCTTGAACGGCTTGTTATATTAAGCGTGTACAGACCCCCTCATTCATCTTACGAACTATTTGAAAAAAGATTAGATGAAGTTTTAGCCAAATTAAATAATATAAATAAATATATTGCTGTTTGTGGTGACTTCAATGTTAACTTATTAGAAGATTCCAGTGCTAGCAGTAGGCTCATATCATTTTTCCAATGTTATAACCTTGTGAATCTTTTTTTGGTGCCTACTAGAATAACTTCTACTACTGCCACTTGTTTAGACAACATTTATACCAACGCCGTACCTAGTAATAAATCTATTATAAATAAATTAACTTCAGATCACTGCGGTCAATTGGCCACTTTTAATATAACTGTTGACAAAATGCCGAAAAAGGATATCACATGTGTTCCGATAAATAATGGTCGACTTAAAGCTTATAGAAATAACGTAATGCTTAAACTAACTGACATTCCGTACGTTAACGATCCCAATAAATTGTATAATTCAGTTTTCAACATAGTGAAAAGTGAACGTGATAATGTTTTTAAGTCCAAAATCATAACTATTAATAATTCACTGAAATTTAGTGAATGGGCGACTGTGGGAATTCACAAAAGTAGACAAAGGCTGTATGATCTTTACGATGAAAGAACTTATAACACTAGTAACAGTTTTAATGATTTTGTTAGGAAATATTCGAAAATGTTTAAACGTGTTTGTGTGGCAGCCAAAGCAATGTTTATTAATAATAAAATAAAAAGCAGCGCGAATGTAGTAAAAACGACTTGGAATATTATAAATAGCGAAACTGGAAGGGTCAAACCTCGTAACTTAGATTTTCAACTAAGATTTAATGACAAAATTGTAAACACAGACGCAGAAGTTGCTAAAATATTTGAAAATTTTTTTACCAACATTCCAATTTTGACTACTAATTCGTTAAATTCATCTCCCACGGCCGCTGAATCCTTACTAACAGAAAATAATGCAGTTAGTATCACTAACTTAAGGTTCCGTCATGTATTTCCAAACGATATTGTTAAGGCCTTTAAGTCTATAAATATAAAAAATACTGCTGATCTTGATGGTCTTTCAGTCAGAGTAATTAGTTCTATAGTTGATTGTATTGCGCCTTACTTAGCCTGTGTCTTTAATAAATGTGTTGATGATGGTGTCTTTCCTGACCTCATGAAGCAAAGTAAAGTTATTCCACTTTTCAAATCTGGTAGTATTTCTGACCCCACCAATTTCAGACCTATATCAATACTACCAACTCTCAGTAAAATATTTGAAAAAATTATTCTAAATCAGATGTGTGCACATTTTTATAGTAATAATTTAATGTCTCCTAAACAATTTGGTTTCACTCGGGGTCGCTCTACAACCGATGCTGGTGTAGAGTTGATTAATCATATATTTGATGCATGGGAAGTCTCACATGATGCTATTGGTGTATTCTGTGACCTTTCCAAGGCTTTTGATTGTGTGCACCATGATACACTGGTCAGGAAACTTCGCCATTATGGTGTGGCGGGACGTGATCTCGACCTTCTTAAATCGTATTTGCGTGGTAGGGTACAGAGGGTCGATGTTAACGGTACGAGATCGTCAGGGTCTGTAATTAGCATGGGTGTCCCTCAAGGTTCAATTCTAGGCCCATTTTTGTTTTTAGTTTATATTAATGATTTACCTAGCCTTATGGAGGGTATAAAACATGAGATAGTATTGTTTGCTGATGATACTTCCTTATTATTTAAAGTTAAAAGGCACCAATGTTCCTATGACGATGTGAACAATGCTATATCTAAAGTAGTTGATTGGTTTGCTGTTAATAACCTACTTCTTAATGAGAAAAAAACAAATTGTGTGAAATTTACATTACCCAATGTTAGAGAGACGGTTACAAACATTGTAGTTAGAAACGAAAAATTGAATCTTGTGGATACAGTTGTATTTCTAGGTATAACGTTAGATGCTAAATTGCAATGGGGTCCCCATATAAGTAAGTTGTCAAAACGGCTCAGCTCTGCAGTGTACGCGATTAAAAAAATAAGGAAACTTTCAGACGTCGAAACCGCTAGATTGGTTTACTTCAGCTACTTTCACAGTCTAATGCCATACGGCATTTTGCTTTGGGGTAATGCCGCCGATATCAATAGAATCTTTGTCCTGCAGAAACGTGCAGTTAGGGCAATTTACAATCTGGGCCCCAAAGTATCTTTGAGAGATAAGTTTAAGGAAATTAACATTCTTACACTAGCCTCACAATACATTTATGAAAATATAATTTATGTTAAAAGGAATAGTAATTTCTTTATGAAAAATAGTGACAGACATAACATTAATACGAGGAATAAAAATAAACTAGCTTTTCTTGATAGTCGTCTTCACAAAGTCAAACAATCATTTAAGGGGCAATGTATACGCTTCTATAACAAGATTCCGGTTGATATACAAAATTTGCCTTTCACGAGGTTTAAAACTATAGTGAAACAAAAACTTTATACTAAAGGTTATTATACAACTTCTGCGTACTTGGATGACAAAAATCCGTGGTAGTAACCCGTTTAGCTCATGGAGGTAGTCTCAATCTGATGTTTCAAATAAAAAAATATTGTAAATGTTATTTACAAAGAGCAACCCCTAGAGTTTCTTGCTCATTCTTCTCAGGGGAATCTGCCTTACGAATGAGCGGTAGAGTTTAACCATTGTGACGATTTCAAGTGTAATAATGCTTACCTATGAAATAAAGATTATTTTGATTTTGATTTTGATTTTTGAACGTCAAATCTGGAGTTTTTTTTTAAGTTATAATATTTTATTTAATATTCATTATTATTGTTTATAATAGTGACGATCATTCCTCCATATATTTTAAATTACATTATCAATATTATAATACTTACTGATAATATGAAATAAATGATATTCCATTTATACTGTCATCGCAATTAAGAACCAAGGCGTGTCCACCTCAATCACACTTCTCTCATCTGAGAAGTCTGCATTGATATGCGGGCGTCATAATAATTCCTAATGGAAGCCCAACCTACCGCACAGTGAAATGTTAATTATAAAGGTCGGCTAATATGAGTGCAGAAGTTAACGCAATCCATTGAGCATATCAATGATAACCAGATCCAACATTCCAGTAATATCATTTGTAAGATATTAGCTTCTCTCTCATCATCAGGAGGCTTACCATGAACTCTTATGGCGATTTAATTTTGAACCTAAAAAAGTCCTCTCTCATCTCTCTCTCATCTGAACGTTGTCCCAGTTGCGTCCTCAGCAGTGTTGCTGAGGAGCCCGGGGTCCGCTTTCCTACTTTTTCTCCTCCACTTCGGCATCCTTAGTGGTGAGACCATTGGCACGCATATCACCTTTAGCGACGTCAAGCCAGCACTTCTTAGGTCTGCCCCTTCTACCGGGGCCCGGAACTTAAAAACCTAAAAAAGTCCGTTTCACTTATTCGTACCTTGACCTTAAAAACGATCGTGTCAGCAGCATTTACGCTAATGTCAAATCAAAACCTAAATTGAGTCGCAACTCCTTCGAAATCTATACCATTCATTCATTTTTCGTACCATGACGTTATTATTTGATATTAGTTGAGCCAATGTTGAATCACTGTAATGTCAATCAAATCAAGTCAAGTTTCAAAGAATAAATTGAGACTTTTTGCTATTTCATCAAATAATATTACATCTGTTTAAGGACTTTTATTTATTTGATGATTATATAATTATGCGAGCGTTGAAAAAAAGAAAAGAAAAATTGTCTTTGCGCTTGCTGCAGATCTTAGTTTTTGGTTTTAACTACTAACAAAACTTGTTACAACTATGTATCGCGGAATAGAACAACCTTTCGCATGTATTTTTTATGATAGATTTGACCTCTTAATTCATCTAATGGAAAGTGACGATGAGGTCGATGTTGGAGCATGCTTATTCACTGTCGTCTTGAAAAGGTCTAAGTTATAGCGATCACGGAATATGTCTGCAGACAAGGAATTCCACTCCATGACCGTTCGCCATATAAATGTGAAAGCGGAACACTTCGTGCGAATCTTTGGAATAGCGCAACATAGGAACACCAGCTTGCGTCTACACCTTCGATGGTGGAAAGGTGAAAGCGGAATAAAACCTGCATTACATAAGGTTACAATTCCATAATTCCAAGTGACACATTTTTTATTTTTTTATATTTTTTTCAGAAACGAGACGATGATGTCCCAATTTTCTTGATGATGCCAATCGAGGGAATTAGAGAATATTGCAACAACAAAGCAATGCAAGCGAGAAGATCTGTGTCACCCATGCCACAATAGTTAAATAATATCAAGAACGTACAGAATGTAACAAAAAAAGTGCTACTAAATTATACTGATCACAGAAGAAAAAAACCAATGGAAGTGCCTTAAGCCTACACATTCATAAATGTTAAACACTAAAAAAAACCTTAATAATGATTGGTCGTAGTTTCCAATTAAAATTCTGGACTGTTAATATAATTTTTAAACTTTACCCAGTTCAATACATATTTTTGCAAGGTTCAACGGTTTCGAAAATGGAAAATTTATTAAAATATAATAAAATAAAACCTAACGATGATATGAAACATGAAACACTACCATTGATAATATTACAGGACTATCGTTTTTGCACGCCAAAGTAGCAAAATAAGGCATTTTCTATGATTTTCGAGGTTTTGCCTGAGATGATCGACACGATCACAACATAAAGAGAAACTGGCGAACTGAGTTCAAGTACGTGGAACCCTCTTAGCACTTCTATTGTATTTATTGTTCTGTGATGATGATCGTATTCTCGGTTAAAATAGCTTTACTCTTTTCAAACGAAGCTTTATTTATGCAAATGAAACATTTACTTTATATTTCGAAATCGTCAATATTTCGCTTACGTACTGTTTGTCTAAAGTTATATGTTATCATAACTACATAGCTAGCTAAAATAGAAACTATTAATAAAAACAGAAAGATTTGCTTACTTAATTAATTCAGAATATCATATTGTCTTCTAAAGTTGAAAACCTCATGTCGACATCCCTTTTTTACTCTTCAAGTACAATATATGGCAATTAAAGCTTTAAATATAATTTGTAGACCCTTTTTTAATTGTAAATTAAAGGCAAAATCATAGATTACCACATAGTTATTTTTAGTAATTCTTTTTTGTGCCTCTTCAAATGTTCACATTAATGGAGATTACGAGTTTAAGAATTTAGCAGATATTCTACGTTGTGATGTAAATAAATCAATTTTTTCAAATTTTTAAGTTATTATTAGCTCATAAATGTTGCAAGAGATTCTCGGATGAAGGTATGCTCGGGCCTTTATATAAGGTATAAAGTATTACTCGTCTGTAAAAATAGTTAACTGACTACCGCTCCAAATCCATTACTATAACTATATTATAGTACACTACCGTATTGGCACGCTATGATGGCCGTTTTGACAGATTACAATAATGAGGTCAAATCTCGTAATTTGATTATCGAAAAAAAGTAATCAAAGGCGAGTCGCATCTAAGTTTTTAGATTTATAACTAATATTGCAAGGGGTACCTGATTAAAAAGTTTTAATAAAACGGAAATAAAAATGTTTACTTAATACTTAATATATATAATCGTCAATTCGAAACTATTTGGTTTTGCATTGGAGCTTTGACGTAAGTTTACCGGAGGTAGAAGTCGTGCTGGACAGCGATCCTATAAGTGACGATCGTATTAAATTTCATTTTTTAAATTTCGAATTTCGGAAAACAAATGCCGCGTTGTGTCGTAAAATGATACATCCATAAATTTCAACGTAGATATGAATTAAAACGAAACGTGATGAGCGGACAAACGTTAAAACGGCCATCATAGTGTACCGTTACTTTAATCAAAATAATAGATACTCCTATGAACAAATAATAATTCAGGGAAATAACAGTAATTGTACCTGCCAACAATTTACCAGATAAACGCTTGATGACGACAAACTAGTTTGACTATACTATACTACTATACAGGGGGCGATATTCCTTGATACGTGACGTCATCGGCGTTACTTCTATATCGTTCACTGAAAAAACAATCTAATTAAGGTGATCATATATTTTGTAATAAGTAACATATTTGAGTGTAATAATGATCGCAGCAACCATTTTCAGTAACGAATTTAATCTCGCTGTGATTGATTTCGTCATGGATCTTGATGACTTGATTAAAGACTATGTAAATTTTCAGTGTAATTTAATATAAAATAAATTTACATTGTAATTGAACAGATGGTAAATATTGCAATTAAAATTATTATATTTTATTATAATATTAATAATTGATATTATTTATTATGTAAATGCAATAATGTTAAATTCTCGTCAAATTAATGCATCATTAAAATAAATAGACATTTAAATTTAATTAATTATTGTGTGCTAAATTTCCTACAAAAATAAAGGACAAGTAACAACAACCAACCCTGACGACAGCCAAAATAATAATAATTAACATTATTGTATTGCAATAATTTTACTTATAATGTAAATTAAATTATAACAATAATGCGTTATAAATTTAATGAAATGTGATCATAATGAATCGTTATGTACAGGTTGTGTACTAGTCAGATTGTTTTATTAATTCTAATGTTTTAATAATAAAATATTCTATGTCTTCTTATCGTATTGATGACATACACTAATGTACGCTAATAAGGCGTAAGGTACTCGTCGAGTGTTACCTAGGGAGCGGCAGATGTACGGGAAAGGAATGTATGTACGTCGTGCTGGGAGACTCCTTTCGTGCAATTAGCGGGCTTTACACAGATACTGATGATACGATAACCGTGCACTATTAAGCGCGCGTGTAAAGACTTTGGAAGGATAAGGGAAAGCGCAATTGCACTCATCATTCGCGCGTGGAATCGCGCAATCCAACATACGCCAGTTTTACGTGGTCTGTCCAGTCTGTCCAGAAATGTCATTTAATTTGTTTGAAAACTATTCTGCCAGATCGTTACGGTGACAACTGCGCTCCGATTGGCCAGCCCGAATTGGAAACAATTGACGGGTGTCGTCAATTGTTTCACTACTCAAATCGACCCGTTTAACTTGAGCTTTGCTACAATGGACGAAAATTTAAAAATTACATATTTAATATTTAATTTCCGATGAAATATGATTCCGTTTGTTTTGTAATTATATGTTTTGCTGTTTTTCCCACACCATCGAATAGAACAGCCCCCAATAGAGATAACATCTTTATTACAATGAATACAGAATATTTTTGGAACAGACAGTTGTTGGCGCTGTACTATTTCAGCTTTCTAATTTGTGATTTCAGTGCAAACGAGAGTTGATATTAAAAGTGATATAAGGCCCATTTGCCTGATGAGTTGCCAGGGCTGGATGGCTTATTTGGTCTCTATTTCTGGTTATATACTCGATGTTCCGTTGTAACAAAAACGAAGATAACCAATCGCGCGCGAGAGTACGTTAGCTTAAAAAAATTCTAACAAGTAATCGCGCACGATTGCACATGCAGGCTTTCCCGCGCACAATCCTGTATGCTGCTCATCACGCGCGATACAGTCACTGTGCAACGGCTGCTATTGAATACACAGTTAGTTATTATATGTATTAGTTATGTTATCTACCTAAACGAAGTAGAAAAGAAATGTACTCCGCACTTTTTGTTCCTGAAACACAGCTTTATGTCTTAGCAACCTAAACTAATTTTGTGATTTATTATCTCTACGCTTCTTAGATAAATAATTCAGCTTATGTGAATCAGATGACAGATAAACACGTTATTGCTCACACACAAGAACAAAAACAGTACATACAAGCAACTTAAAATAATGTGAGTAAGAGCGATCTGTTCCTTTCAGATAGACGAAGTTAATCAGAGCGGGAGACGTAGTGTGCCAACGTATACCTTAATAAAATGAATAGTATAATTAAAAAACATTAATTATATTTTATCAAATAATAATTAACGATATAGTATCTATATTTACACAATAAATATAACTAAATAAACTCATACTTACAATGAGGGAATCCATTGGGAGTTGCAAAATATAGAGGGGATCAGTTGCAATTTAAAATTGGCGGTGGATCGTTTTTGGGGATCAGATGGGAATAACCCATTGTTTCGGACGGATGTCAGACGGAGGACGGGAGTAGACCCCCAGTTCCGAAATGACGGTCTGAAATGTCATATGGATCATTTTATCTCTAAGTGTACAAGTGATATCGTATTTTCTCGGATTGGAATCGGACATAGTGCACAAGGACATCCGAAGTGGGTCCGAGTTTTCTAGATTTGTACAGTCTCGGATTCGGAACGCTACCGCTATACTTTATAAATTTGTTTCTGGGCATTTCAATATTCAATTCGCGAATTGATCACGTCAAACGGCGATCGCCATAGGCAAAATGATAAATTGTACAAAAACAATAAACAAATAACAAATCACTAATAATTTTTAAAGTTATGAATTACGAAAACCCATTACAGTGTGTACTCGTATTGCTATTTATCAGATGAGATTTTCGATAATTAAATGTGTCAAGAACATTCGTTCGTTCAAAAATAAATGGATAATTGATGCGACCAATAGTCCAATGAAGCTTATTAAATAAGTAATAGGACACTCAATTTATGGTTCTATTGCATTATGTACGCTACGTTTAGTACCTACCTAGCCTTGGACTATATTTTCTTAGACAGTATTAATGGACTATAAAAGCGAAAAAATATCAGCAGGTGCTACATAATTCAATTAATCGACATCATGAAAATAGAATTGGTATTTTCTATGAGTACACATGTCGATACTGCATGTCTGTGACCTGAGCGACCTATGAATAAACAATTGAACAGGCGTCAATTTTACTCAAATGAATTTAATATTAATTTAACAATTAAGTACTTGTGAAAAGATAATTAAGCAAAGAAGGGACCTTAGTAATAGTATTTTTGTGGCTCATTTGTTTATCTGCAAAATACGCAATAATATTTAAAAAAGTAATGCCAAAATAGCTGACTTAATTTTGAACAATATTTAGGTTTCAGTTGAAATTGTGCCAAAAAAATTCAAGTTGTCACATAAAAATAGTAGCTGATGCCTGAATTTTTTTAGGGATTTTTTAAATATTTTTATTGAAATGTAAGATTTTCATGTCTAGTCAGTGAAGTGAAATTTTTAATGTTGTATAGTTTTTTTAACATTTAAAAGAAAAATATTCAACCGGTTTCCCTGTGTAATGCTTTGTGCTTTGTATTTTATTAAAAACGCTTATAATTGTAACAGTACTTATTTATTTATATAATTTCTCATGGTGGTTAAAATGAACAGTATATTTTACTTTATTTCAGTATAGTTTTTTGATTTCTTCTTATTATAATTTATAAATAAATTACCGCTTAACAGTATTCATTTCATAATAATAACGATGAATTTCATTCGCAGTTAGTGTATTTTATAGGGACAAAATATATATGTATACATCACACATGACAATTAGGATTAAAAAAATGAGTTAATGTATTTTATCTTAAAAATTACGTTATTTATATGTGTTGTTGCACACTGTCCCACACGCAATTTTTGAGTTAATAATATGTTAGTTGTCATGTGCGATAGATTTATAGTAATAGATTGTCATACCCGGCTAGATACAGCATGTAAATTTTGTTGTTTAAGCATGTTTTTTTTGTGAAATTGTAAAATTGTATAAATAATTATTTAGAGATGAAACTTGTTTGCTTGTTAGGTGTAAAAGTAAGCTGGTGAACATACAATAAAAAAATAATTTTCAAAATATTTTGTTTCTTTTTTTCAAACAAATGTATGGTAGCGGGCTGGTGTCGTGTTTCTCGATGTCTGAACACCTATTTTGCGCGTTAACCAAATGAATATTTTGGTGACCTACACTGTGAGCTCTGTTCGATTCCCGGTAGAACCAATTGTAATACGAAGTTAATTGACTGTCACGAAGTTTTACTACCATGATGTTCAATTTTTTTGTGAAATTACTCCACTCCACAATTTGTTTTCACAGATTTATCACAGACGGCGCTATAGCAAAAAGTCGTTAAAAACTAAAAGCAAATCAAGCACATAGAAAAATTCGTTTGGTCGGCTGATTTGTTCCGTAACTTAGTTGGGAGAACGTCGGCCTGGTATGCTGAAGACTGGGTGTTATGAGAAGTGCCCCAAAGTGAATTCCGTTGCTCTGGTAGAGGGAATACTCTAGTTTGAGACCAGGTAATCGGTGTGATTGTCTGGCACATTATTATTATTATTATTCAGGATTACTAAGCGCGTTTGTACACTATATCGTTCACACTTCACACGAGTCGAAACGTCGCGACGCTTCATGTTTTTCGCCTATAGCATATTCATCTCTATTTTCCCATTGTTAAGGTACAAATTTGTGTTAGGCAAATATGGAATCGCGCGTCGACGCGCGCTATGACGCGTCACTCGCCGACCATACTGTGATCCGGGTGCGCCAATGCGATAATCGTCGCGAAACGACGCGCGTCGCCATGCTTGTAGTTGAAAAACAGGACGCGACGCGACGCTTCGACTCTGCGCCAATGTCAGTTGAGCCTAAGTCCGATTCAAATCGGAGAAGTGTGTACATGGTCTTTAAGTCGGTAAAGTTCCTGAATCAGTACCACTCCTTAAACTTATTGATGCCAATTTGACACGAGTGTGCAGTTTTAAATATCTTGGGCATTATATTACCGACGACCTTGATGACCAGGTGGACATTGAGAAGGAACGTAGGGCATTGGCGATCAGAAGTAATATGTTAGTTAGTATGTGTGGTTGCTCGTTGCAGTAGGCAAGTAAAAATTACGCTCTTCAAAGCCTTCTACCTATCGTTTTACACGAGCAGCCTGTGGTTCAATTTTACTAAAAGATCGCTTAGTGCCTTAGGGGCCAGTATAATAATGGTTTTAGTGTTGATAGGGCTGCCTCGATTCTGCAATGCATCTACCATGTTTGCAGAGGCGCGGGTACACGACTTCTACGCCATCATCCGTAAAAAACAGCCTCACTGCTCAGCAGACTGCGAGTCAGCACCAACAGCAGTCTACATTCCCGACAAATATGACCTGCCTATAATGAAGTCTTTCATTCGAGTTCTGCTCAAATAGTCTCACATGAGTCTAATTGATCGGAATGCGAGTGAAAGATAATTGGGACTTGTATTTTTATTTTATTTTCTTTGTCACTAACATACCTTTTTAAGTTAGTTTGTAAGATA